TAAAGTATAAGTTAAAAATTTTTTTTTTCAACAATTTTAAATTTTAACAACATATTTTAATTTAGAAAATGAGTTGTCTGATCCTGAAAGTGAAGTAAGAAATGTAGACAAAGAGGGTAGTCACAAAATAATGCAACAATCCATCTTTGATGATCAACAAACACGATTTGACGGTAATAGTAACATCACAGACAATCCTGAGAGACAAGGTCGTTATAATTATATTATTTTTTTACAGTAATTATTGTAAAGTCCATTTTATTAATTTTAGCATTTTGATTTATTAATAAGAAAATGATGGACTTAATTCGTATAATTTTACGTCAAACAAAAAACGTCATCTTCAAATTCTTCAAGATTCATCAAATAATCTAATTCACCAGCACAATATCTATCGACAAGCTGCGAATAGAAATCTTGAAGATTATCGTTCCAAAATAGAGCATCAAATGCGTACCAAATACAACATTCATGAGCGTAGTTATAAAGTTGGTGATCTTGTTAAAGTACAAATCGCTAAGATCGACCGTGGACCTGGTGATCGTTGTGCACTACCATGTAAAGTGTTTTCTGTACTTCCCAATGATGTATATCGCCTTGTATGCTAATTTGGTGTTCTTGAAAGTACATTTCCAGCCGGTGAAGTTTTACCCCTCGGATCAAGAAAATTTTCAGAGCTTGATGATCCTCCAACCAATACGACTATTAGTGTAATCGAAGCCGCAAGATTACAATCCAATGCTATTGCCGGCAATAAAACATGTAATTGCAGGGGTAACTGTCTTACAACCAGATGTTCTTGCAGAAAGGCGAATGTTTTATATGGGAGTGGGTGCCATCCAAAAAGTTTGAAATGCAAGCACAAGGCTTGAAAACTAAAGGGTCAAATGATAATTCAATTTTTTTGTTTTTTCAAATTTGTATTTGCAAAATCCATATTATATACTGGCATAAAATCCTATGTATAATCGGTCTATAACAATTATTATCACATATTGCTTTTTCTATTGCAAAGGCACCAAGTTTCTCTACATATACTTCATTACTTAATTATCAAAAGTATTGATATTTTTAATTGATAAAATTATCGTCCCAAATATGCACAATTAAGGATTATAAAAAAAATTATGCAATTTTCTAAGTTATCAAAATCGAAATCTGAAGATAAGTTATCTTTTTTTTTTTTTTATCTGCACTTGATTTTTAAACTAATATATTTTCATATTTATTTAATTATTAAATTTATAACTTACAGTAATTGTACGATCAGTCAGCTTGAATTGATTATTCGTGTAATTAATTTATATCAATATGATCTACTATACTTTCTCAAATGTGAAGTTTAATTAATTAAAAACTACAAAGATCAAAACCGGAGAAGTTTAATTAATTAGAAGAAAATATGTACAATCACTGGGTAATTAATTTATATTTATACGTTCTGCTGCATTTTTAATATTGTAACATTTCACTAATGCTAACTAAAGAATTGTGACTGTTACTTTGAAAAGGCACATGAAGCTCAATTACTAGTGAACTTGAATTGGATGAGAATATATATTAGTTTAGAGTTTATGAATATGTCAAATTAATCAATACAGATTTGAATAACATAATAAATACGAGTAGCAATGTTCAATTAATAAAATAAAGGCTCTAGTAAAAGTATCAATGGTTAAAAAATTCTATTAGTAATACGTAAATATTACATAATTGAAATTCGACCTGATTATATCTTACGTGATGTGTTCGGTTAAGTTCTAATTCTCAATCAGGGTAACCCGCTTAAGAATTCCAAAACCAGCTACCCCGATTCTGAATTGGGACGGCCGGATTCTGAATCGGGATAATTCTTATCCGGGGTACAACATATATATATAATAATTAATAGTAATTAAATAAAATTCTTAAAAACCTTTTATACTTGAAAATAAGCTACCTTTGATTTTTTAAGCTCAAAATTGCCAAAAAAAAGGTAGCTTATTTTGGAGAAAATACGATAGATCCGGTAAGAGGTGTAACAAATAAGAGGGTGTGACAAATAAAAGGGTGTGACAAATAAGATGCCACACAGTATAGTGATCGGTGGATCGACAGGATCATCAGGAGCTAAAATTTGTATAAATTTAATTAGAACTAAAATAGTAAAAAGGTTTTGTATATAAAAATAGATAAAACAGATTGGAATTGTATAAATTGATTAGTAATATGAATTAGTAATTGGGATCTGCAAGTTTGGGCGCCTAGGGGGAGCAGGATGCCCCAAAAAATATAAAAAATTTTTTGTAAAAATTAAGCAGAATTTTTGCAACAGAGTTTAATAGTATTTTGTTAATAAAATTAGAAGTATTTATCCGTTTTGAATGTATTATATATCAAATTAAAGCTCTGGTTGAGCTTAATCTTTTTCAATTAATAGACAAAGAAGGTTTACTTAATAAAATTTTAAGTAAACGGCAAAATAAAAAATATTAGAAGTCAAGTTATAACTTAGTATCTAAGAGCTTTAGAGCTATAAAACTAGGCCGCTTATAAGTAAAATTAAATGTAGAGCAACTTTACTTAGGCAGCCAAAGGTAGTTTACTTAGTAAAATTTTAAGTAAATAGCAATTGTTTTTAAGAAGAATTTGGTACAAGTAATCATCAGGAAGAGTTAATGATTTGTGCCTTTCAAATCATCAAAATTGGCCTAGTAGTTTATGAGATATGATCAAAACATTTTTTTACGCTTGTATAAAATCTCTTTGAAGATCTGCAAAGATTTTATATAATCAGAAAAAATTGTTTTAATCATATCTCATGAACTACTAGGCCAATTTTAATAATTTAACTACTATTAGAATTATAAAAACCTTCTTAACAACTTTATTAGAAATACAAAATAGGATAACTTAATAATAAACTATGATTAGAAACATTTTATATTAATGATTTGTCAATTTTTGTCATTGGATCATTATATATTACATAAGGTTTTATAATATATCTAATTGCATATACTGCTTAAATGCATAAAATACTTGTCTATGGATTCTATGCATTTAGATAGTATCAACTGTACAATCTAAATCTGATAAAAAATTTGGGGGCAGTACAGTGCAGATATGATCAGCCCAAATAGAGCTAAGTAGTCAACATAAATAGATATGTGTATACATAGATATGCATAAAATATATAAAATTTTTTTAAGATGATCTTATCCATTTTAGCCAAAAAGAAAAGGTGGCAGATCACGAACAAATGGCTAACCAATCAACAAATATACACAAAGCAAATCACAGCTATATACAGAAATAATTTGAAGATTGCTGATAAAAAAAGATTGGAGTAGGTTAATTATAATATAATCTATTATTATAAAAATATATTTAGTTTATTTATGAATATAATATAAAGTAACCTGATTATTAATTGATAATACACCAGTCAACTAGAAAGAATTTGTAAATTTTTATAAATAAATTTTACTATTGGTCTGAATATGGAGTGTCTAATTTAAAACTTTTTTTTTATTAATTGATAATTTGCCAGTAAACCGGAGAGAATCTGCAAATTTTTATAAATAAATTTTACTATAAGCTCAAATATTAAGTGTTCTTATCTAAAAATTTTTTTAAAGATTTTTCAAGAACCATTAGGCTGAATTTAATATTCTTACAACTATTAGATGCATCTTGATAAGCTTTACAACTTTTATTAAAGCTTAAGAGTAATTTATTTAATAAGAAAAAAGTTTTAGATTAGAGCACTCTACATTTAGACCAATAATAAAATTTATAAATCTTCTTTAGTATAGATAGGTATATATAAATTATTACAAGATTATAATAGATAAAACCTAACTAATTTGGACCAATTTAAATTTCAACCTTAACTTTACTCTAATAACTTATAAATTTATTTAAATTAATTCAAAATAGTTAATTTATATATGTTATAATTATATAATAATTATATATGTCCACCTATACTAAAGATCAACCAAATTTACTTATAAAAATTTGCCGATTCTCTCTGGTTGATTGGTGAATTACCAATTAAGTAAATCACTCTTAGGCTTCTAATAAAAGTTGTAAAGATTATCAAGATATATCTAATGGTAGTAAGAATATTAAAATTGACTAACAACTCCAGCAGAATGGTTAATAGAAGTAATATATCAAGTTAGTATCAAAGACTTACAACATAATAATAGGACATAGAAAAAGAAAAAAAAAGAGTTGCTTGCAAAATAGATACATTGTGTGAAATCCTATTGGAATCTTGGATGCCTTGAAGACCAAAGAAGCATGGATTTGAATTCGCTTCAAG